CTGCTGCAACACCGAGCAATAGATTCACTTCTTTATTAGCTCAATCGCACAAAAGAAAAACAGTTAGTAAAAAAAAAAAAAAAAACAAACTAGCCTGGAATTCGTCCAGCAGCAGCCCCAAGCTGCCACCGGCCACATGCAAAAAGTACAAGCGGCAGCAGCTCCGAGCTGCCATCGCACACTCCCAGATCGCGCAAAACCAAACAATTACAATAACAATTTCATTTTCAGTCATCAGATTAAATATCACGGAGGGGGAATTCGAGCCAGGAGACGGGACATTTGCATATAGCAGGAAACCGAAGGGTAACTGGACAAGACGAAGGGGATTGAGGCTCCAACTTCGCTTCCTTGTTACTTGCTCGTTCTTCTTTTTGTAACATTCTTCGCAGTTTTAGAGAATATTTTCTGAGATATTCTGAGTTTTTGTTGCTCTTGACTGAGCAGCGCATATAAAAAAAGTGGCATTTTTGAAGCATTTTGAATCCATGCTTCTGTTAATGTCAAATATGTAGTCATTGCCAAAAATTTTGATGTGAAGTGATGCTTAGCAGCATCATAAATGTAGCATTAAACTACTTCGAAATAATTTACAAATATTTCAGAATCATACAGCGAACAAGAATGTCCACATATTCATGGGTCACGGTGGTCAGGATTTCTTAGTGCGTCTTTCTTTCGCTCAGATGACCGAGGCGTTTATCAAGGCTTTCAATCCAAACATACGGTTAAATGTGTATCCAAAGATGCTCCATAGCAGCTGTCCTGAGGTAATCTCATTTTTTTTTTCAGTCATATCAAAATGAATTTTTTGATAGAAGTCACGCGTTCATATTTTCATTTTATTCAGTCGCCAAGCAGGACAAATATACACTTGCATACACATACACACACACACACACACACACACACACACACACGTCATACGCTTGGTACATAAAAAGCACAGCAAAGATTCACAGCACTTAAGATCTGTGCAACAGAAATTTAATACTTTAGTGCACAGTATCTGCAAAAGAGAGATCACAGAGCATGGATGTTATTGGTGCTAGCGAACTTTCCAATGAAATGAACATGAACGAGATTTTCGAAAGCAAATCATTCCTCTCCTTAATTATTCGCGCACCAAAGAAACTCCTTGCATAACGTTTTTTTGCTAGCCAAGGACGAATTTTCAAGTCTGTTAGACCGAATACAAACTAGGTTGAATCCCAAATCTAAGAATTCCCTTAGCCAGTACTGCATGGCCTGATGGCCAGCCTGCTTGCGATCCTGATGTTTTTACCATCGTTTGAAGGATTGCCGGTTTGTAACTGTTTTTTTTAAGAGCAGTCGCTATTAAAAATATTCTGAAATTGTGTTATTAGGAATTTTTTGAGTGAAATTTGTCTTGTATAGGTTCTGTTAGTTCAATAATTTTAAATTTTTTTTAATTTTTGCAGGAACTTCGCGATACAAAAGAATTTATTGCGAAACGATTGCCGAAAATATGAGTAAAATAATGGTTGTATTATATAGTTATACGTAGTTCTTTTTCGTTCTTGCAATAACGATGAGATGCGAAAAGGCATTTTGTCAATAGGTTGTCTGCTTGTGTGATGCTTGTAGTTTTGTCCCCTCACAGTTCGACTTTCAGGTCCACCAAAGTTGTGAAGTTGAAAACTTAGCATCTTTATTCACTGTTATGGCGGGAAATGAACACTCACGTCCTCTTCTCATTTTGGAACAAGTTAAAAATGTCTTTGACGGAGAACAGTTTCGTAAACCAGTCAGAAAGCTGGAATTTTATGAAAAAATGTTGAAGTTTGAGTTTTCCTACCGAGTTTTATTTACTAATGCAACGTCTGACCCCTCTGGAAAATTAATCCCCGTCCTTCAGGAGCCGCAATGGAACCTGGTTAGACCCCTGGTGGAACGAGACCGAAATTTTGGCGACTTAGACGCTATGTAAATCTTGATTTCCCTGTCGTCCTCAGCCAGTTCAGTTTCATCCCTACACATCGTCTTTACCATCATCCTCGTTACCGTTGTCCTCGTCCTCGAACAGCTTCGTCCTCTTCATCGGCGTCATTTTCCTCGCCTTCGTCCGCGTTTTCGCCTTCTTCCTCGTCTTCAGCCCATGTCGTCACCAAAATTTCAAATTCAGCTTTTAAGTACAGTTATGTCTTGCTTACGGACACGATGAAGCTCCTTCACTAGCAGTCGAGTATTGAACCTTTTCTTGTCTGTCAGACTATCATGCGACCTCCCTGACGGAATAATTACTAATTTTTTAATGCTTTTCTAACGTCTATCTTTTTAATCTTTTCTTGCAGTTTCAAACCAAGACTAAGACACTATTAGCACCACGCCGAGCCGATTTAGGGACCAAACTGATTGAAGCTTTATCTTCATGAAGATTATAGCTATGATTAGGAGGAGGTTAACGTGAAAAGGAGGAGAGCGAAGAAAAGGCGAAAAAGAGGACTGTAGAGCTAAATTTTTACGGGCGGCAATGCCTGTTTGTGTATGACTCTAAAAGTATAAAACTGACTTTCTCATGCCCGTTCGTCTCACGTATGAACTTGTCAAACTTCAGATTGCAGAACTGTTGACATCCTCCTAACTGCAGGTAGACATTCGCGAATCGGTTTGGATTGGAATCTGTGCTCTAACACGGAATTTTGCTGATCATGTACAGTCCGTAAGCGTAGGATGAGCTTTAAACACAATCTCAAGTTTTGTGCGCTGATCTGTCGACATTCGTTCCGTACGATAATCAGTCGTACTAGGAAGCTTGAATTTCGCCGAGTCCCAGAGTTCTGCATTAGCTCAGCCATTGGTGTTTCCCTCTGAACGTGGAAGAAGAGGTCAACAAGAACATTTCCAACACGAATGCGCATCTCGAATGGGTAATTGAATGTTTCAGCGCAGTGTGTATTCAGCTTCTGTGGCTTGAATTGAAATTTTGGAAAGCTCAGCTGTGAGCAAGCAGTTGTCACTGAGAGCCTGTTGATTTCTCGGACGATAACAGAAGTGTAGCAAATTTTGTGCGGTCTGCCACGTTCCGAGCCGTCTATCTGTCTGGCTCGGTTTAATTGGCAAACTCCTAAACACCGGCCGATAAATTCCCTTGAAGAGTCATTGTTCATGTGAAGCAATGAACGTTCGCGTTGTTGACGATCTTATTGGCACAAAAATGCATGATCGCACCGACAACCCTTGTACGGGCAGCTATTTATTGTTGTGTTAAAATGTGCAGTTAAATATCTGGTATTTGTATTGAACCAATAAATAATTGAAGTTTTTTTTTTGTTTTTTTTTTTCCTGATGAAACTCTCCGTTTCATTACGGTGCTATATTTTAACAGATGCCCGGATACTGCCACACATCTAGCGATTTTTACTGCTACTTGTACACATGCTTGTAACTTATTTCGATTGTATTCATTACTTGATTTTGTCAGTCCAAACAGGGGCCAACTTTTGCTTTGCTTTTTTTGTCTTATGTTTCGCGCTCCTCACGACCCTTTTTGATTGATTTTTGAGTCAGCTACTAAAACTCGGCTCGGCCTCATTTTTGAGTTCGAACTCAGCCTGCAAAATCGTAGGGACCGGGATCGGGGCAGTTAAAACTCGGCTCTACCGCCCAAAATGCACTTGTTTTGAGGAAGATGCACATGGATGTTATTTCGAGTGGGAGCTGTGAAAATCGTAGTCTTATGAATTTACTGGATTTCTCTCTGGTCAAATTTCCGGCTATAAGGACAGGTTCCCTAGTACTCAGTGTTAGTTATCTACTTAACATCGGCCCAAATCCTCCCCTTCACTCCACTGTCCCCCTCCCCTTAACTTATCTTCAGGCAATGGCTTAGCTCATTCCCGGTCAGTATCTGATCCCCTTTTCTCAGTCGCGACTACCTGTGACTAGCATCCCCGATCTTTCCTTCCTCCCACCTCCAGTCGTTTCTGCTCCTATCTCATCAGTTAAGGGGGGTCTCAAACGCACCGAGCCAAGCCGAATGTTAGTAATTGCGTGTTTTGGCCACTTTCCAAAATTTTGTGTTTTCACTGTTTCAAGTTAGTTGTAAGTGTACTTTTAGGTTGCTGGAATTGGCTCGGTGCGCGGAGGTGCACGGGTTGCTTTTTTCACTGGCAGCCTTCATACATATAAACGTACCTTGACCTGTGCTCAGGACAGCGGGTGATGTTGATTTGAGGCGTCGCTCCGTGTTCGTAGTGAAGCGACGAGTGTGTTGCTTGCTGTTGTGTTCCAGTGGTCATCAGGGTAGCGCCATGCGAGTTGCAAGTAGCCATGCTGTGCTGACCATCCTTCTGCTGTTTGGTCTGTTCAGTGTAGAGCAAGGATTCTACGTGCCGGGTGTTGCACCGGTTGAGTTCAAAAATGGAGACCCAATCGAAGTTAAGGTAAGCAGCCGTTCGCATGGTGATATTATTTCTTTTTTGAGCTATTCTCTCCGACTTTTTCCTTGGTTTTGATGGCAAATCTAGCACTAGAGCGCGCCAGGAACTCGAAGGTTTTATCAGTTTATTTACAAGTAACAGTCAGAAAAAAGTTATAAACATTTTTGCTGGCGGATGGTTGCTGTTGGCAGTTGCTACCGTTGGGGCTAATTTCAAATGCCTCTACCCCCCACACAGCATGGGTAAATTGGGGTTTTTGTCTTCCTATTTTAGGTAAACGAGAAATGCATTTAGAACTTATGAAAAAAAACAGAACTGAATCTGAGTTTGGTGGCACTCGAGATTTTTATGCGTTTTTTGCAGCTATGCAATGCAGAAAACGCATATTGACGGGAGGTTGTCTGTGTGTGTGCCCCTGTGTTCGTCTGTACCGATTTTTCATCTCGAGACCGGCAAAAGCTACGGGGCTGAAACTTGGGGG